ACGGTCTTACTGAGAATTTTCGGAAAACTGAAAAGGAGTATTGAATGAATAAAACATCGAATGTTCTTTATTTACTGTTCTATATTTAGGTACGAATAACAATACTTCAGCAGCGAAATAGGTAGCTACCAAAATAATTGTGGTTGTGGCTGTAATGAGCACTTGACCTGTCTGCCACGAGTTGGTCATTCAGCCGGACCATTTTGCTGCTGTCAACAACAGAAATAAGTGACCGGAGTTGTTCACGTGTGGTAAAGTACGTACCTGCCTATATGATGTACAGTCATGTCCTTTTCTGTCTTTCTCTAAATTACATTTTCAACTTTATTGTATTGTCATAGATTCGAAAGTTCAACTGCCTCATTGGCCAAGTGGTCGCAAGTGCCGAGCAAGGTCTCGGGTTCGATTCCCGGGTCGGGCAAAGTATTACTGAGTTTTAAACTCAATAGTAGTAGTAGTATATGGCATCAAAAAATTTGTCGGTGTATCGTACCTATGTATATTCATATAGTAAAAAACGTTTATTTTAATGTTACAAACAGACACTCCATTTTTATTTATCTGTACCTATATAGATGTATAGATAGGCTGCACGGATGGTGCCGTGGCTGAGCAACTGGCTGCCGTGCAATGGGTAGCGGGTTCGATTCCCACAAGAACCAACTTTTTATGTGATCCACAAATTGTTGTTCCGGGTCTTGGGTGTCATGTGTATGTGAAATTGTATGTTTGCACTCACGACACAGGAAAAATTCCTAGTGTGGGGCAAAGTTTTTTAAAAAACAAAAAAGCACTCCTTTTATTAACCGACTTCAAAAAAAGGAGGAGGTTCTCAATTCGACCGTATATATGCTTTTTTATGTTTGTTCGCCGATATGGCCGTTGCTTATGAACCGATTTTGAAAATTTTTTTTTTGTTAGAAATGAGATAGTTCCAGAATGGTCCCACGATAAGGAAATCAGGATCTGATGATGGAAGACCAGGGAAACCGAGGAGAACTTTTAAAAATTATAGGGGTGACTAGGGCATTTGTTATCCTATCAGTGGGTGTGTAAGCTATAAGTACGTATGACCAATAATAGTTATTAATTCCTTTTTAGTTTTTACTTTTCATTTGTCTTTAGTTTTTGAAGTCGGTTTTTTAAACGCAGTTTTTTAATTTTTCTACCTCTATGATAGGTTACGTATCTGGTAGTCCTCCTCTACCCACCTCTGACATTTTACACGTCTCTCACCACATTAGATAGCCAGTTAAATATTATGTAAATAAGTGGTCGATAGGTACCTACCAAATCGTTCTAGACTTTACTATAGGTACTACCTACTTACTTACCGCGTTAAAAAATCCTGCGTGAATAAACAAACTGGGTTTTATATCATTAAACCGTAAAGTTTTAAACTTTTAATGGAGTCATAACTCAGACGGGATTATTAATTTACATATAATAATGTATGAAAATTAAAAACTTTTATGACGCTTTTTATCTACAGCCCACATTATTAGACGCTCTCACCATTATTTTTGGTAATAAGTAGCTTAAAATTTTTAAGACGTGTTCCTATTTCTATTGTATACAAGCCAAGTGCCATAGCCCATAACGTTTAATTTCGTGGTTTTCGCGACAGGTGGCTCTCTGTACATTTACGACTTTTACAACTGTCAATAAAACGGAGGGAAAGTTCACATCAAGTTCTTCTCCAAATTTTACTGAGTAGGTACCTACCTAAGTTGGGAGTTTGTGAGCGTTTCCAAGTTTTGACGATCCATCATAAAGTTTAGAATAAACCATTTGTTATGGGTTGAAAATTATTTATTGGCTGTTGAAAGTTTCGGTATCAGGTTGGTAACCTTTTAGGTAACACTGCAGTGACTGCAACTAGCCATTATCACCTGTAATTACCATACCTCATGCAAATAAACATTCTTATTCTTAGATTATTATTAATGTTCCAGGACGATAAGAAGCTGTTAATCATCTATACTAATATTATAAAGCTTAAGAGTATGTTTTTTTGTTTGTTTGTTTGAACGCGTTAATCTCCGAAACTACTGGTCCGATTTGAAAAATTATTTCTGTGTTAGACGCTACGATTAATAGGCGTCGAGCAGAGCGAGTGAAACCGCGCGGAAGTAGCTAGTTTCTAGATAAAGCTCTACATAGGTGACGGTTGCAGATCTTTATATGTTTTGTAGTCTTGGATATTGAAATAGACGATAACTTGTCCTTGCTATTGCTAGGTAGGTATTGCTAACATTTAATTTCAGATAGGGATTTGTGTAATAATGTGTGGACTTGGACATATGTAGTTGATACCTACGTACGAGTTATGAATTTAAAAGGTAGCTAGGTACAAGCTGCCCTATTTCTGTTTCGATTTTGATACAACGATAAATAAGTTTTCTCGATTTCACTTAGGTTAGCATAAATAAGTTAATAAGGTGATAAACCGCAGCGATGAGCAAGGGTCTAATAAATCCTAGTCAACACTCTTGTCTTGACCAATGGCTGCCACTAACAAGATCATGCAAACGCAGACCCCCTCGCTGACTCTACAAACACAGGGATCAAAAACATAAAACCGGCACGTCGACAGCAAACATCCTTGCCACACACGGAACAAATTGTCTACCAGGGGTCCCAAACACTTCATATTTTATCATAATTAAATTCGTTGCGTGTGCCAAGACAATTTCGTTATCCCTGAAGACAGGACATTTTGTCCAAGGTTAATTTGTACGACCCCAATTTGCCCATCCAGGGTAATGTCGTTCGATTTCCTTCTAACTTACGATTATGGTTATTCGGAAATTAATGTCTTCATTTTTCTATATAGAATGGTCTTGTATTACGGTTTGATTATGGGTTGTAGTAAGTGGAAAGCTATTATGAATGTCGGAAAGTGATTCAACGACCTATTACTGCTAGGCAGTCAGTTTAAAGCACTGTATCGGATTGTAAGGACATGAAATTGAACATATTAAACCCAGTTATAAGTAGTTATGAGTTTACGACTATATAGCAAGGAGTCTCGAGTTCGAATCGATCAGACACAGAGACTAGAATTTTATCCGGTGTACCTGCATATCTAATAATAGGCACAGACCCATGGAACTCATGACGAGGGTTTTTTTAAGGGGGGAAAGTCATCGAATGACTGCTCCCGCCTGGGTGAGACGGGAGGGAGTGTCAGACTCTTACCGACTCGCTGGGCCGGAGCCCCGGTAACCCGTTAGGTTCTCCGCGACTCAGGACGAGGGTAGGCATGTACCTACCCCCTATACCTACCTACTTAATAAAAGTGTGACGCTATGTTGTTCTACGGTCCACAGGGTCTTAACTTAGTCTATCTACCGTACAGGTAATCCTTTAATTATATAGTATCTAATTTTGTAAGAATTTCCAAATCGAAAAGTAGAACTTGGTTTGATTGGTCAGAGGCCTTAGTACGAGTTTCATTTAAGTTTGAAATATTTGTAACGAGTACGCGTTCGGCACTCTGATTGGCCGGCGCCAATGAACCAACCAATCAGAGCGCCGAACGCGTAAACAAACTCGTAAGTTAGTACCTACGTTAGGCCTTAGTTGGCCTTCTTCTTTCTTTCTTGTGAAAACTCATTGGACAGCCAAACTATTGTAATCTTACGAAATAAATACCTATTCTATTCGTCAAAAACCCAGCTAACTTTCAATTCTACACAGTAACAAAGCCACCGACTGGCAACAGGGTAGCAATTATCCTACAGCTAAGCCATCCCACTTAAAAGGCAAATCTATTTGACTGTGGCGAACTTGCATTTGCATCTAGAATTCAAACTGAGTTCTATGCAAATGAAATAGCCATTTAGCTAGTAATTGAATTGGTTGACTGAGACTTGGCTGGTAAAGGAATCTCAATATCTATAGGATTGATTCCCGCACGGAGCAATTCTTTGTGTGATCCACAAATTGTTGTTTCGGGTTTGGGTGTCATGTGTAGGTATATGAACTTGTGTTTGTAAACGCACCCATGACACAGGACACAATCCTGATGTGGGGCAGTTTTTTTAAAAGAAGGTCTCTCTTACAAACGCCATTTGTTTATATATAGTTTATTGCGCATACACATAAAAAAAAACATGTATTTAGTTAAATACTTTTTGGTAATACAATAAAATATTTTAAGTTGTTAAGATCGATTTTCGACTTTAACTGTATGGAGTTCCTGTCAGAAACAGAGGGCAATAAAGAGATTTTGTATTATTTCATTTCCAGGATTATTGACTGCAGACCAAGCAACAGCACTCTGTGGTCAAATTATCATTACAAAAAAAGACCACACTTTAATTTATCATACTTTTATTTCATGTACCATCAATCAATGTTTTGATATCTTATTAAGTTATTAGTTTATTACACTACAGTCAGTCCAGTTTGAAATACTTATGTCGGAATACTCAAACGCTACTCAATTTTAAGTCACTCTAAGTATAGTTCTGTCTCTACAAATTCTTTGTAAAATGACAGAGACGGCACGATATTTAAGCACGACTTAAACTGTCAAACACCAAGCGGGACCGCAACCTATTGTTCTTTGTGTCTATAGATACGGTACTCGACGAGTTAAAATTGAGTAATGTTTCAGTATTCTATAGTAATAATAAGAATACCAATTAGGTGTGTATAATAATAATATGAACTTAATAGTTCCATAATTTAAATCTGTAACAATTCTATAAGATTTCTTGTAAAACATAAACTAGCTTGCTTGTAGTTTTTATGAGGTGAAAGTATTCGAAAACTATAAGCATAATTATTAACTAAGATAAGAACCTAAATAATAATTGAACTAAGAAATCACAAGAAACATTTCATTTATCTACTTGCAGACCAAATCTGGACATTTTATCAGTTATTCAGTATTACTTTTTGCTTCTATAGTCAACATGACAGATTGTTTTAACATTTATTATGGAATTATGTTACTACTTGACCATGCACGACTAATACATTATGTGTCCCACAGATTAGTTATCTGTGGCTGACAACAGAAAAATAAATTAGTATTGATACACTGCTTCAAAAAGTATTTACTCTCCAGCCAGCGAATTGTAGATAATGTTGTCAAATGTCCTAATTACTGTACTAACATTTGTAGTATAAGCTTATGCAATAATATGCATAATTTGACATTAAACTGCTGTCTGCAATTTATCTGTTGCCTTAAATATATGCCTTTTGAAATACTTCAATTCCTCTATACTTTCCAGTATGTCATCTATAGATCGATGTTTGAATTTTTTCATAGGCATGAGTGAATACTCTTTTTGGTACCACCTCTTTGCTAACTCCTTTATGGAACTGACATCTATAATTCTGTAGTGAAGATAGTTGTCTAGTACTGGCATATATTTTCTTAAAAATAAACGGTCCATGTAGACTGAATTGCCGCCCAAAGGGCACTTCTTCTCTGGTGCATGGGATTTTACAAAATCCAGAACTTGTTGCTCTGCATCCTTTAGAGTTATTTTTGATTGCCGACTAGCCTCCGTTAGTCCACTCTGTAATGTGAGAAATATTTGTGTTAAAGTTATTCATTGTACAAAACAACCACCTCTCGGTTGTAATTTGGGGAAGTGCTCCGAGTTTAGATAAATTGCATTGTATTTATAAAGTTATATCTGGTGTTTTATGAGATCAATGAATGTGGACAGTATTAAATTAATAAATGTATATAGTTTGTAGTAAATGAAGGGGCAATAGCAATAGGTAGTGGGTGTCAGTACCTGTATTTATAATGGCAAAAAATTTGAGAGTGTTTATGTATGAAACCTTCAGTGAACTTACACATTAAAGTTAATAGAATATACATTAAACTGTCAAACACCGCGAGAACACCGGTGACCGCCACCTAATGTTCTTTAATTGTCTCTATAATGACTGTACTCAAAGGGTTAAACAGAAGAACTTAATACCTCACCATGCTGAGCAATACACCAGTCATTCATTTCATTGAGGATGCTGTCTGGCTGGTTGATGACTATATTAGGTCCCTTAGCCACAATATTCAAGTCATCATCTGTGACCACACAGGCTATCTCCAAAATATGGTCCTTCTCCACATTAAGACCTGTCATCTCAAGGTCCACCCATACGATCCTTTTAGCTGCACTGCTAAATGCTGATGAAGACATGGTGACAACTGGAAATAAATTTATATCGTTTTTAAGCATGTATATGCATACATTCGACAAGTAAAATCAATTAGGATAGCCCCATCCACGTGCTATACATTATTTTCGTAAGCTCTTTAGGAGTTTTCTAAAAGATAAATCAATATCGATTATATTTTCTATTATAAATGAGGTTAGTAATTGTTCCACTATTTCTCATAAATCCAGGAGTATAAACTACTGATTACATTACGAAAAATAAATAAGTAAATTAAATAATACTATGAAATGAACGCATGGGGTCTAAACAAACTTACTGTTTGAAAGAAGCCCGACTGGTTTTGTTAATTGCTTAACAAAACTGGGTTTCAAATACCAGCGTACAATATTCATTTATTGTTCCTGTTATGTTTAAAGAAACTACTTTATTTATATTTTTTGGACCATTAGCACCTAATGGTGTAGTTTATATTGGAAGTGAATTGGCAATGTACAGTAAGACGAAAACGTTTTTCCAATTATTTGTGCGACGATTTAATATTCACAATGTTTAGGAGAGCGGAGGTTTATGAAGTTCAGTGTATTTTGTCTCTTATCAAAAGAACCTTCACTAGTACCCACTTTCACTTTGTATCGTTATGTCAGGTCATAGTCAGGTTATGTTTTACCAAAATTCAAATCAATAAAACGTGACAGTGACATTCATTTGATTGACATACATAATAGTAGCAAGCATAGATTGTAGAGTAGAGGCAAAGAGGATCCCACCAAAATAGTTATGGTCTATGGTACGCCCCTTTACAAAATAAAATAAAAATTATTGCTTTTATATTTTATATTATGATTCTTTAATAATTAATAAAGTTAATTTGTTCGATCTGTAAATTAATTATGTTTTTATGATTGTTGGAATAAAACTTTTTGTGGCCTACTAGACTCGATTTCAATGACACTATTGGAGACCTATAGATTTGGCAGCGGATTTTATAACAATCATATTAGAATCTAGTATAAATTTCTGCATAATACTAAAAAAGTGCTAAATAGTTGGAATTTCCATGTATTTACAGACAAAATATCTAAATGGTACAGTGTAAACTGTACAGTTTCCCTGAACTCATAAATAATGATCTCGATCGGAAAAATTAAAAAATGTAAACATTGCTAGTCTGTATTTTGCATCTGTGCTTTGGACTGTGATTCTTCTCGATTGTCATGGTGTACTAAGGGTTGATTTTGTTTTTGTTATATTTTCAATATTTCCAGTAGATAAAGCCTACGAATAGCGAACATTATGAACAGAATAATTATTAACCAATGTCGATGCATCAAAAAATCGAGTAAGTAAATAATATTTAGCAGGAAATAGCGTATAACTATGTCTTAACCTAAAGCGAAGCGGATTTTGATTGATTATTATGTACACCTTCGTATGACTTCATCGTGGAAAATATTAGTTTTACATAATGGTACCATGCTTTGTTATTTGTAAATAGGAAGTATGTAATTGGATGTGACAAGAACTAACAACATAAACAATATTATCTAATTATATTTTAAGTTTCGTCATGACCGTCACATGGTTTCCGAGGTTCTTTTCAGATATAAAATAGATCAAAGGTGAAATATTTTACAGAAATCAAGCAGTCAAGATTGCAGCTTCCCCAGGCTTCTTATAATTTTATTCTTATTAGATTCTACTTGTGTTTTTTGATGTCTACAAATACTATTTTACAAACGTCCTATGTTGTAAATTTTTGTGATTAGCACTAAATATTTGTATATTTTTCCAGCAATACTATGGGAAAACAGACAATATCAAAACTTTCCATACATAACACTCTCAAGGTCATTGTCATATTATACAACACAGCCTATCGGACCCCATCATGATGTTTCACAAAAACCATTCAATACAAGGATCTTATACCATCCTGGGTTCATCAGGACTTTTACTACAAGCAGATATAATTTTGACAAAGAACCATTAAAGCCTTCCTCAAAAGTTGAAGCAACTGTTGAAACTATAAAGAAAGGCTTTGATGAACAAGAAAGACTTCCAAAAAAAGAGGAACAGAAAAAAAAGAGTTTAAAGGAGCGCATTATGAATGAGTTACGACATTATTACCATGGCTTCAGATTACTCTTTATAGAAGTAAGGATCTCATCAACACTATTTTTCAAAATCTTAAAAGGTTACACATTGACTCGAAGGGAGCATAGACTGCTGGTCACCACTATTGGTGATCTGTTTAGAATGGTTCCATTTATTGTATTTATAGTAGTTCCATTTTTGGAATTTGCACTGCCTTTTTATATCAAACTGTTCCCAAATGCATTGCCATCCACATTTGAGAGTATGGATCAGAAAGAAGCCAAGTTAAAAAAACATTTTAAAGTAAAATTGGAAATTGCAAAGTTCTTCCAAGAGACATTAGATCAGATGGCTCCACAAGCCAGTAATAGACATTCAGAATTGGCTAGAGAGTTCTCTAGTTTCTTCAGTAGGATCAGAACATCAGGAGATGTTGCAACCAGTGAGGAGATTATGAAATTCTCAAAATTGTTTGAAGACGAGATCACATTAGATTCATTACAGAGGCCGCATTTAGTTGCTTTGTGTAAAGTGTTGAATGCATCAACGATTGGTACGAGTGCCATGTTACGGTTTAATCTTAAGATGAAGCTGAGGTCATTGGCCGCTGACGACAAAGTGATTGCTAAGGAGGGTGTTGAGAGTCTAAACTTTAGTGAGCTGCAACAAGCTTGCAGGGCTAGGGGTATGAGGGCTTATGGTGTGTCAGAAGAGCGATTGAGAAAGGAGTTGAGGAATTGGCTGGACTTGTCATTAAATGAGAAGGTGCCACCATCTTTGCTGTTGTTGTCAAGAGCCCTCATGGTGCCAGAACATGTACCCACGACCTACAAACTCAAGGCGACAATATCTGCTTTACCAGAACAAGTAGCAACTCAGACTAAGGCTGCTATAGGAGAGAAGGAAGGCAAACTGGACTTCAAGGTAACATTCTTGAGTATTTTAACTATTCTTGACTTTCTTACAACATGCTTAAATGTTAACAATAACTGCATATTAAAGCACTAGTACTATCCATTGTTCTCAGATGAAACTTATTTATGTTTTAAGTACTGGCACTAATTAAATCAATCAATATTTTTGATTAAAAAATTAATTTTAAAAAGGTACATTGTTAGTAAATATCTATAAATTTACTAACTACTTTCTATAATTATGTATAACTAAGACATGTTTATACTAATTCCAGGCTAAAGCGGAAGCTATCAAATTGGAAGAACAGAAGATCAAGGAAGAAATGAAGGAGTTGCAGGAGGCAGAGAGAGAGAAACAGATCCTGGAAGCTAAAAAGAGAGAAAAAGAAGAACTCAAAGACAAAGCTCCCATCATTGACACTAAACTTCCTCCCGTCATGGTAGACCCAGCACCTGTGATTGTAATTGAAACTAGCAAACCGAAGTCTGAAGAAGGACTTTCTGGCAAAGACATCGAAGTTATCGAAGACGCTTTAGAGAAATTAGGTAAGATTCTTTTTGGCAGTAATCCACTTTTTTTTCAAGGCCGTACCTTGAAAAAAAAGTTCAAGTTCATATTCAAATGCTCCTAATTACGTGTTTTACTCGTTTTTGTCATTCATATTAATAGAATTGTATAGGACATGTGCACAAAACGTGTTAGTACGTCATGTCATAGTGAAGAATGTTTTGTAAGGAGTTTTCAATCTGTTTTCGTCGCGATACAGATCTGTTGCCTTTTCCTTATCTGTTGACTTCAGTGATCTGTGTCGGTTGACAACGCCTGCAACGTGTATCCGGTTATAACTAGTTCTATACACTATCAATATGAAATGCACATTGCTCCCTTTAATGTTTTACATGATAATGGTCTTAGAACTTGCATAATAAGATTTAAAGAATTGGTTTCTTATAGTATTTTACAACTGTAATTTGTTTGGAAATTTCCGGTTTTACAATAATTTACGTAAGATACATAAAAATAGAATTATAAACAATTGCCCTTTAGCGAAGGTAAATAATCTGATACGGTTTTGGTTCAATTATCTCCTTATCGATAAACTGTGCTACTAAATAGATAAGTTTACGTTATATTACATCTCAAATCAAATGTGTTTGTCATGTCAGTTGTATTTGGCAACCATACAAATAGGTGCAAAAATAAACTGTTTCCGGCATTTTTGCTCTTATGTCTCTTAGTTATAAAGTTCAAATTTAGTTAACTGGAGGTGCAAAAGAACAGTAAATCGAAAATTCCGGTATTTTTGGTCTTATGGAATTCGTAATAAAGTTCAAAATTAGTTAACTGTAACATTGTGCATATGATAAATCGCAATAATCAGTATGTGTTTTCAGTATTATGTAACTCGATAATTGATAATGAAACTCCTTGTAGGCCAAAGCCGTGGTCTACTACATAAGTATTAACGTTTTGGCAACACAAACCAAAATTTCTAGGAAATAATCTGGATATTTTGGTACTGTATCGGAAAACTTGTACATACACTGCTATTGCAGACGATGAATCATACATAGTAGGTATAGGTATAATATTCATATGTAAACTAATATTTCTCTAACGTTAGATTATATGTAAATAGAGGCGATATAGAGCTGTATTTTATTATATGACGGAAATATTATACCTACTTGCCTAGTAACTTACTTTGTCTATCTAACAATGTCGTACAGTACAGATAGGTATATCTGCCATCTGGTATCATAAGTTTGTTTTATGATGTCAATTTTACTGCATACAAATAACAGCTTTATTTGCAGTGGACAATTAGATTTATTATCCTTAAATTAGGGTATTATCTTTTTCCTTTATAATATTGATTAATGTTACAACATAGAGATGAAAGAGGTATTTCTTGAAATAAGTATTTTCAGTAGCCATTAGACTATATGGATATACTATAGTGACTGACTGATACTAAATTGGTACTATATGGTTAGACATGACCTAACTCAGTTCCAATCTAAAATAACTTCCTTTTTTCTTGCCCTTCTTCAGTCCCTTGAGGACAGCATCTTAAAGTTTAACTGAATTCATTACATCACATTTTTTTCTTTTACATTGTTTATTGTACCGATTTCAAAAATAATTAGAATTTATGATTGTCTTCTTCTTTACTCTTTTCCTTACTAAAGGTGTAGAATTTTTCTAATAAAATAGTATTAATATATTAACCTAATGAAAAATGCTTGTAATATTTTCCTTATCTGAGATGGGTTTTCCCTATAAGTACCTAGCCATTGTGTCGGGAGTTTGGGAGCGTTGGACCACTGCCAAGGTCACACTGGTTGGGGTCGTCCATTCACCTTTGATTTGACGTTTCATTTTACGTATTTACTATCATCTCATCTCTGAATTACTGGAAAATACTGTTTTCAGTGCCAGATTTTCTTTTAGGAATTTTATTTTTAAATAATGACTTGTATACGATTTCTGAGAAGTATAAATCAGGATGATATGGTTTGTTTATGTCTAAATACAAAATATTTACGTGTTTATGGATTTGAAGTCTAAAATTCGATTCATTTATTTGGTATTTTAAATAGGAAATGCGTTTGAAATATCTTGTACACATAATAAACAAATATAATTCCATTTTTTTTATAAAATAGGCAAATTACAAAACATTTATTTACATCTTATTCTTCAGCTTCCATTTGTGGTAACATTCCATTGATAGTTAGTACATAACTATTAAATCAATAAACATACGATTTCTCTATGATTGCGTCACTTTATACATAGATACGTGAAAGTTCTATAGCTATGTTATGTCGCAATCCCTACTCCGAAGGTCATGGAATCCATCAGTTTTGTTTGTTACGTCATACTTATAAAAACACACTTGAAATTTAAAAATGTAATAAGTATGTATATTCTTTTTGCGTTATACGGAAATGTGTTAGAGTTTAAAATGATGTAATAAATTATAGGCGTTTAATATTCAAATAAGTAGCTTATAGTTAACAGCCTCGTCTGCCACAGATTCACCAAAACACTAAAAAAAAATTACAAACTTGCCACTTTATTATCTGTCTCAGATTTTAGTAGATCCAATTAGAAATAACCTCATTGAGATCTTAACAATACCGTAAGGTGTAATACATAAGAATAACAATTTAATAAGATGTATTAATACAATTTTCTTTGTTTTTTATTTACAGCTGAACAAAAGAAATCCTTACTTCTTGAAAAGGAGAGTATCCAGGAGCTGAAGGCTGAATTACTAGACTACAATGAGGACGTCAAAGAGATGCAGGAAATTGTGAAGACGAAGCAGGCAGATCTTAAATTATCTAAGGGTGCTCTCAGGTATTTTACATGTACAAATAATAATTATAACAATCATATCAACACTTCGTGACAAGCCATTGATCAGCGGTTTTGGGAGGCAGTGGCGGGCTTGTCCCAAAAAAAAAGCCATTGATCAAATATACACGGAGCCGCGAAGGCCTCACAGGTTGCCGGGGCTCCCGTTCGTAGAGCAGGAGTAGGAATGGTGTGGTTTTTAGTCAGTAAGAGTCTTAAGACTCCCTTTCGCCTAATCCAAGGAGGGAGAAGTCATTGGATGACTTACCCTCTCAAAAAAAAACTGCTGAATTATAGCCCTTTAAGCCCTTCTTTACATTATCTCTTCATTGTAGGCTGTATCATTACTTACCGTCAGGCCACCAGCCAAGACAGTGACCAAACGCCTAAATATTGCAAATAAAAAATAAATAGGCGTTTGTCACTATCTCTGTGCTTGGTAGAATGGTTAGAGATAGTGGTTTAAAGAAGGTTAAGCTTGTCAGGGAGTCCTGCTCTATTATCCCTTAGTTGTCTCTTATACTGGATTCGCTATATTATATATCACATCGTCATATGCATCATTATTTTAATAAAAAAAATATGGAGACTGCATGTATTTATACTGTAAAAAAGATAATATGGTGATGATTTTTTATTGGGCACAATTTTCTCTTCTTCCCATTATAGGGACCCTTCCTACATTTTATTGAATATATTCATAACAATACCATCATCTTCATCCATTTTCCGTCCTCAGCTGCAAATAGATCTATCGAATAACGTACCAATAAACTGGAACAACAGTATGAATACACAGTTCTTAAAATAATATTTCTGAAATTTGTAGTAGTATTCTCTTTTGTCCACTAGATGGCACCATTTACTACACATACATTTATATATACAAAACAGTCATACCGCATTCAGGTAACAACATGTTATAATTTTTATGAAAACATGATGAAACTTGATGCAAGTCTATTCATGTATTAACGAGTAGCAACACTGCATCGTCTAATTGCGTCATCAAGAAAGGGGATTTCGTTATTTATTATATAGTAGATAGATAATTTTCTTATTATCAGTGTTACCTACATTCTGTGACATTTATCTTTATTGATTACAGTTGCTTGATCGATTACCTATTAATGTAATATATTTTGTTGCTAACATGCATTGGGTAGATTTAGAATAGCGATAAAGTCGTTCTGTCACTTAAAAAGTGGCCTAAACTCATAGTTTAGCAGGTCTATTAAGTGTAATTCCAATCAGAAGCTTGTTTTAGTCAGAATACGACTTATTGCTATCCCAATTCATAAATACAAACAATGATTGTATTTAAATAATTCTCTACTTAACCCAAAGGTTGACTGGGAGAAAATGTCATATGGCATTATGTACTTTATTTTGTGTGCATTTAAGAGTTAATAAATAAATAATAAAATTAATACAAAACGGAAAATACTAGTTTCAAAATAAAATCAATTATAATTAATTATATTATTGCACTTGCAAACAAAAGGTTTAACATTAACATTACACTGCAACAATACTTAAAAAACATAAGAAACCTATAAAGAAAAAGCGTAGTCCTGTTAAAATGGCCGACAGATCATTAATACTTTAGGTATTAAGTGGATACCATCATCTGTCCGTTTGCTTCTTGACCATAAAATCTATGCCAAAATAGAAACACATTTGTAATCTATAAACTTATTACAGATTATACAAGGCAGTCAATAACATGATAAGCAAGTTGGATGCGGCTTTAGCGATGCTGGAAACCAAGGAGAAGGCTCTGAAGAACACACTAGAACAAACCAAGGCTGAACCACAGAAAGCGAAAGAACAACTGATCCAAATTGATGAGCTGATGCATTCCATTAAGAGCCTACAAAAAGTACCTGATGAAGCGAAATTGAAACTCATACAGGATGTGCTAGGAAGGTTGGACGATGATTTCGACGGGCAGTTGAAGATTGATGATGTATTGAAGGTATGTAAAACTAATATTTAATTGAAACACAGTGTGAGAGAGCCATGCTTCGGCACGAATGGGCCGGCTCGACCGGAGTGATACCACGGCCTCACAGAAAACCGACGTGAAGCAACGCTTGCGTTGTGTTTCGTCGTGTGAGTGAGGTTACCGGAGGCCCAATTACTTTCCCCTTCCCCAATATCCCCAATCCGTGAATCTCCAACGATCCTCAAATTCCTAATCCCCAAAAGGCCGGTAACGCACTTGTAACGCCTCTGGTGTTCCAGGTGTCCATGGGCGTTGCTCGTTTACCGGCTTATGCTATAAAAAAAGAAAATAATAGTTTACCAGCTGGACTCGCTGCTCATGAATAAGAGTCCCATTATGACTTGAAACTAGTAGAGCTTTCTCAGTTATTTCACATATTTAAGCCGCTAAGATTAGTATAGTACTCACGATAGTGGTTATTCAAAAATATGTTAAGAAATTATTTTATAAATATTTGAAAGATCTTTTTCGTCCTTACGATGCACTTCTTTCTTCTGCAAACTCCCGATATCGTACGGAACAGTATGATCATAAAACTGATACCACAGCGTCTACATGAGGTTGTTGACATGACCAATGTTGTCTAAGGTCTGTTACGTGGGGGAATAAGGGGAAGGCCTTTTTCCAGTTCTGAACGTCTTCCATCCGCAAAGCAAGCTATAATGGAATTTCATAATACATCAGTATACAAGTTGTGGTTTTTACTAGATGTTTCACTACAGGAAGTCTTAATATTAATGGACCAATTTCTGTCATAATCTTTAAGATCAATCTCGAATTAAAGAATCTCGAAGACAGCAAAATATCTCTGAAATATTCTGGACGTCACTCAAACTTAATAGTAAAAATAAAGGCGTATACTTCTTTATCTTGAATCTAAGACTTGAATGAGAGATCGATAGCAATACGTTTTACGTTTCGATTTAAAATTTTCATCATAGGAATTTCGCCAAAAATGCATACAAATTAAATATTATAAAGTACTTTTTCCGATGTTGCCAATTCGCCACGTGGTGGGCAGGTGTCGAAATGACCTAGTGTATTGTCAAGGTCACCGTTTCTTTTTTCCACGATGTGAAACACGTGACTGGCCGCATATAATTCCTCGCGGGTGATTATAAACGCGATAACGTTGTATGTGACCTCTTTCTGCAGAGAACGCGAAACTTCCGTGTTATCACAGATTAATAATCTTCACGGTCAGCATTAAAAATATATTAGTTTTCCTCTCCTTGATGAAATTCTAGCGCGTTATGTCTTTGAAAGGTAGCGGTTTTTGTCAGCTTCAGATTTAAAAAAACAAACTTAAACGTTAGACTATACTGGCTTTGTTGTTGAGGAATGTCAAGGTTGTGTAACAAAAAATGCGGATTTAAGAGTAGTTTTAAAGATTTAAATGCAACAAAATAATGAAATAGAGATCTTTGAAGACATATTTGAAAGATTTATTAAAATGAAGACCAAAATAAGCATACTATGACACATGTCTGCACGTTTTATTATCTATCATAAATCTATATTTATCTGAAACAATAAAAAAGATCATCTCATTTCATCTAAACAATTAAAATAGCTCCCATTTTCATACACAAAGATACATACCTAACAAGAATACATAGATGTTATGTAAACAAACATGGCTATTGACTCTTTAAACGTGGTGAGGTCAGGACAGGACGTCTGTCTGCATAGGTCGTTGACATCTCCATTCTCAATACCTACTCTCATATTTTTAGTTTCAGTATTTTCGAATAACCTCCTATTAAGATGAATCTTTATAATTGTTTTAGAATAATAGTATGTTTTTCTTAGTACACTGCAAGGACAAAAATGTACATTAGTAATTACAATGGCTATTAAAATAATTGCATATAGGTACCTATAGGTATTTCAGTAAATAAAATGTCGCTTATCACCCGTTTATCAGTTGCAATTACTTACTTGAAATTACAGACTGGCCTTGAAGTTAACAAACGTAGGTACATATTTTGTGGAGTTCTTATGTAATGACGCATGCGATATAGGGTTCGAAGAGATTTAATATTTTGATTACATTATTATGTTTGTTTGATAAAAAATTAAATTGTTCATGGTGGCTTGTTCGTCCCGTCGAGTCAGTTAAGGCGCCAGTAGAATACCGGCGCAAGGCCCTGTCTTGCACATGCTGAACTGGTCTCATTTCATTGCTGATTTGAGACATGAACATGTATCCATCAGTACCTATTAATAGAATATCATATCTGTATATACTTATGTCACTTGTTTTTTAGTGTGTAAAATAAAGTTTTTTCTTTCTTTATTATGTACTAGTTTGTAAGTAGCTACTTACATGTGTATAATATTATATACATGGATTTGAGGGAAAAATCTGTTGGCTAGCTATTTCAGTCAAAAATAAATCTTAGTTCTAGACTTTAGACTGTCTGGTTTGCCGCGTTTTTTTTGCTAGAATGACGTCTGTAACGTTTAAAGAACAGTTTTATCCATAGGTATTTTGTGAGGGTGTATGTCTGTTTTATATGTATAGGTGTTACAATTTTAGCAAAGAACCAATTTTAAAAGGTTGTAGCGTCATACGCAATTAATTTTAAATGTTTTCTTGTGAAAGTTATGAATTAAGTATAATTCTGTATTTTAAATGTATTTCCCACATTACAGATGCTCGAAATAATAGGAAACGAAAACGTGAACCTATCCGAGAAGCAGATGGCTGAGCTGATCGAGTTGCTGGACAAGGAGGAGATCCTTGAAGTGGAGAGCAAGATACAGAAGGCGCTCGACAAAGCAGCGTTAGCCGCCAAAGAACAGGACAAACCTAGCGTCTCCGAGGGGAAGGTAATCACCGATTCCACACTAACAAATGTAATCTGGATTTATGAAAGTAATTTGATCTTTAAAATTGAGTCTGTAACTAGGAATTCCTCGGTAAACCCAAATTTTACTCTTTTCAACGTCGACGTCAAGTATCTTGTTATCTTGTATTAAGTATTAACCAAAAAGTAGACAAACATTGCCAGAATGTTATAGATGGTGAGCGAAAACTTTAAATAAAAAATAAGGATTCTTTAGCATAATTTTGTTGATTGATCATTGTAGGCATTATTGAGAAATATTTTAGTCTACAAAACAGATTATATACTGTTATCTCAAGCGTCATTTCATATTCGAATGCGCATTTTGATGTCATCAAACTTTATCTAGTAGTCAGCTGTTCTCAAATATAATAAGGAAAGGCCACTCGTCCGATAACAGTGTTTTGTGTCAAGCAAGGTCAAAGTATGTGCTAGAATTGAACACATTTTTATAAACATTCTCAATTTAATGAACCGTTAAACCAACGCAATTTATTTGGGAACTTAGTATACTTGCAATATTCAACACTAGGCCAAAGGTACAATCGACATAGTTATCTTGATTACTTATAATAAAAGTGGTTTTCTATTATTGCAGAGTTTATTCGACATAATCCGAGAAGCTCAAAAGAGGCGAGAAATGAAGAAAGCCGCCGAACAAGAGGCTCTTGCCAAGAGCGAAAGTATCGTCACCAAGCCTGAAGACAGCAGTAAACGGCCCGAGAGTCACTGAGTAACACAGATCTACTTAGTCAAGGTGTAAATAAAATTAGTGGAATGTTCTTACTCATCTTATCGCCTTCCTGCTGGTTTAAGTGACGATAAATTGGCAAAGATGGCGTTCGGCGTTTGTATTTAAACTTAAGATGCGTTCGGGCACGTGCAATCACATTTTCACCCAGACAACGATATAGCAGACAGTTCATGGAGTCGCACTGCCTGAAGGCATCTTATATCCGCATATAGCATAGCTGTTGTACTAGAGTAACGACATCAAAAAGATGTAGAAAAAAAATATATAAATAATTACGTTGATGTAATGTGTTACCCTAATGACAATAAGCATTTTGTAACATGTAATCAATCACACACGAATATGTAAATAACGTATTACTTTATAAAAAATATTATTTTATTATGTTACGATATAATCCTAAACTTTCCAGGCCGTACAAAGTCGTTTGTTTGTTGTAACTTGTAATGTTTTTAGTTATTCCTGGTTATTTTTGTTTCATATGTATTGTATTACGTTGATGCATTTCTGTGATCGCTATTCAGTTTAAGTTTTATTTTAGTTTATTTTAGTGGTTGTATCAAAAATGTTGCGCACAAATTGTGGAGCGAAACACTTACTTCTTTTCAATTTTGAATTGGAATGAACAGATACGATATTACAAATACTGGTAATTTTTTAGATACCTGATTAATATATTATGTAATTTTGGATGTGTATATTATGTATATTATCTGTAAATGCAGAGTGCTGTTCACAACAGTTTACATTCAGAATATTGCTTTAACTTACGTTTGTACGATAATTTATGTTGTATATCAATATAATATAATATTTATATTCAATCAATTTTCTGCTGTTCAGATGTAGCTCCAATTTCCTTTTACCCTAGGTACTAACAGTATTGGTAACTTCCAACGAGTCACTGCTAAGTACATTGATATACTTCTGTTCGATGTACTAATAAATAAAGTTATAAAGAGTAAGAGAATAAAGAGATCGATGAAAATTATTTTATTGTTTTATTCACGCCACCTTCGTCGCTTCGTAGCACGGTCCACGACCTTCAAAGATAATTATCGATACCTACGAAATTATTCCTGCACTAATATTTATAGAGAAAACTTACCTAGGGAAAATAAATTATTATTTAAGATAGATCAATATCAATCCTTGGACTTTAATCTTGTTATACTTATCGTACTGGTAACTCTCACAAAGTCTGAATATCTGTATTTTAAAATTCCCGCGTCATGACGATGTGAAAGTTTAATATATCCGGTTGCAAATACTGGAAGCTCATTGGTTGATACGAAACATCGTTTTACGAGATTAGCCAATGGTTGTATTTCAACGAATCACAAGGTGTATGAAATGTACTCACGGGCTGTCCGGTCGCCATCTTGAATGATATTGAAAAGCGAAGCGATGCGATTGGTCAATAATGAGACGTCACACCAATCTTTTGACGGAGTTGCGCAAAATAAAATAATTTTGTGACTCTCACTCACTCATTGCGGCTGCCATGTTTTTTTTCATGTGGGGTGTGTGTGTATTGATATAACATGATAGTTTAACCCCGTATAAACTGTTACAGGTGAGTAATTTCCATTAATTCTTGTTGTTTTATGTGTCAATGCGGAAGTAAGTTCATGGCGCGTCCTTAGTGAAAGTGCATCATGTAACATCGCCGTCTATTTGTGAAATTGCATCGTATCGTAGATGAAATGAGTAGTAAGAGTATGACTCAGAGTAAAACGACGATGAAAGAATTACCGTGGCGCGCGTGATAGTACTCTTTGTTGATGTATAGCAAAAAGTGTTATTCGGGTGACGTTGCGAATGCTAGGAGGCTTCGTCCGCGCTCACCCTCGCTCGGGTGACGTTTTGGCGCCATCGACCCATTTAGCACGGCGGGGCGGGCATGGTACTCACGGCACACGAAATTCTTTGTGCTTACTATATCTCAATGACCTTTGTAACAAAACAGATGATAGTAAAAGTAAATCGTTTTATTTTACAGAATCAAGGGGTGCACGTAGTGCGTCATTTGTTATTAGCTAGTGACAATGCGATTGCATAAAAATTGAAGCAAGCGCTGCATTAGGAAAAAAAACTGACCCACTAGCAAAGAATAGGCCAAAGAAATTAAGGATGTATTAGTAACGGAGGAATTTAAGGATCGATTTATATCACACGGCCCACGGCGATTGTAAAATGGACTCACGATTATTGTACAAGATGATGGTGTTTGATAACGGCAGACACTATCAAGGACAGGATGCGTAAGCATAAGAGAGAGAGTCAGGCATTTGCCTGCTGGCCTGCCACATCGAGAGAACTTCATCAAACTCCACACTCCATCATCTGATACCCCCACACTTGGTACAGGTAAGCCGCACTCTACACTTGTCACCTACTCAGAACATCATCATTGCAATCAATTAATGTACATATTCTTTGTAAAGTCACTATCATTATTGTATTCACATTTGGGCAACAGGAATAAAGCAAGATTCTAAAAGCGCTACAGATATTATGAACAGCCGGTGAATACCTTTAAATTAGTATGTAATTGTAAAGAATCCATCTCCAATAATATGCTGCATCACCAAGTATCTTGCCATGATCTGTAGTAAATAAATGATAGGCTAAATGAATAATCATACCCAGTAAAGAAACTAATGATGAAAAATAGTGATTAGTGAACTTGTTAGTGATCAAATAATAATCAGTTTGCACTAATTATTGTTTTTTCGACTGTCAAGAGGAAATGCAGTGCTCAGTAACACTGGAAAGTGACCATAACAGTGGGAATGTAAAAATGAAGACAATTAACAATTATAAGAATCCTTACAAAAAGGTCGGTTTTGCATCTATTCCAATGTTATATGTTATTTTTATAGGCAACATGATATTGTTTTTTGGTTTGCTAGTTGTGAGCAAAATGTTACTTTTGTGTTTTCCTTGTGGGAGTGATTAGTTTTGTTTTTTGTTTTAAAACATGTTGTCTGACTATACAGGAAGTTTCCTCCTAAATGATTGTTGCCTATGAAAGCACCGCACCACTGTATTTTGATGTCCCCCTTGGTTTGCACACTACTTTAGGAGCATCACTGCATTCTTCCTTTGTTCCATTGTTAAAAGCTACTTGTAATAATTATTTGCATTATCATTGTGTGCATATATTTTTTATTTATTGCAACATCATATTTTTAGTGTACGCAGGATAAATCCAGATAAAACATGAAAATACCTACTAGTTTTTTTTTATTGTGCAATGCTACTTTTCCTTTGTTGTTATTTTGATAAGTTTTTCAATAGTCTTTAGTCTGTCACACATTTAAGTTCTTTCATTCTCAGTTGTGTTATCCATCCATATTATTATAGTACAGCTGGTGTTAATATCATTTAGTAGTTCTTCTCAGTACTTTTGAAATGTGCAATACATACATTCTTTATTATATTTTGTATCATACATAGATCAATCCACTAAAATCTTTCCATCATTTTTGATCCAAACTGGAGCACTTTAGAAAATAAGTTAAATAGAACAAAGAAAATGTATGTATTGTATTTGTATGTAGTTCAATATTCCTGAATATTAGATATCAGTTGATGAATTAGGCATATTTACAGATTACAGCACATCCATATTCCCCAATCTGTATGATTTTTGTAATACATAGAATGTTTTTTTTTGTTGAATAATAATGTGCTGATATCTGTACTTATCCATTACATTAGTTGCACGTGAATTAACTTGACTTTCTTTTGACATCATGCATAAATTATTTCCAGGAACCTAATCTTGACAACATTGTTGATCAGCTGTGCACACGACTTCAAGACATCAAAGATCAAGAAAGTTCGTCACGAGTAGGCATGCCCACGTGTTCCGTAGAAGAAACAGAAGCTGTTCGTCGATATTACGCTGCGTTTCCGGCTTTAAAGAAAGGTCGAGAGTCGCCATTACCATATTATCTCCCACCGCCGGCGTGGTGTCGTAAGTCAGCGCCAGATTCCAATACCAAAATGCAAAGCGAATTATCAGTAGCTAAAGATTGGAATACTAAAAACAAGAAACTAACCTCGGGCAAGGAGCGTCGCAACTCATACCACGGTCAAAAGAAGAATAACAAGAAGCGTTGCAACAGTTACAGTAGATCCTTCGACAGTAAAGAGATTCTACCAGAGTGGGTAACTCATGAAGGCGTCTGGGATATGGAAACACAGGATCCGGTGAAAGAGTTTATCAGAGCCATAGCATTGGACGAGGGTTACGGTACGTGCGAAAACACTGTTACAGACGAGATCAAAGAAATTTCTCAAGGCAAAATTAGAATGAACGAAAACATGGTGCCTGAATGGGACGACAGCCTCGACTTTGACGCCGAGTGGGTCATCACCGAGGACCTGAACCCGCGTGTCCGTACGCCCATGGAGGAGGAACTTTATGCCAAGTTTGAGGCTAAGTTCGATCGCAGCATTGAAGCTCTGTGGTCTAAGGATCAGAACACTCCTGATGATGAGTACCAGGACCTTCCGATAGACTTCCAAGACTTGCTGTCATCGCCCTCTGACCGCCTGTTCGCTGATCCGTCCGCCGAGAAATGCAGTCTCATATCTCTCACTGAGAGCATTTGGTCTACCGAAGCTGCGGATTTCCCGCCTCCGCTCGACCGCGGGGATTCACCCTCGCGTATAGCTGACGCTCTGCACGACCGCTTCCGGCCGCTTAACCTGACCGACGTCGTCGAGCCTGAGCCACGCGAGCTCGAGTCGTTCGCTTTGTACGAAGGCGACGAGATCTACGATGCATTGAGCACAGTTGCCAACACGATGCGCTCTTTCACTGCGATCAATCATAGCCGTGATCGCAGCGGCTTCGTCGAGGTGCCGCCGCGCCGCAACCGAGCGCTCGGCCTCCGCCAGCACAGCGTGGTCCGCGAGCCTCCACCACGCCCGCCGTCCCGTCCACGGGAAGATCTGCTCACATC